TTGTGTGTCCGTGAAAGGGGAAGAGTATCTTCACACCAGTCTTAACGTCGGAGAAAGTGCCCAAAATATTACGAATTGGGATATGTGGCAAAACCATGTTGCTATGTGCTGTATTATTGTCGGTTTACATATTCTAACTTACATTCAACTGGCACGTAGACGAACTTATTCTTAAAGTGTCTTTTGATTTCGATTTTTAGTTGTAAAGATTGTTTTGGTCGCTAAAAGGCTATTACTTTTATATATTTCCGAAGTTTCTGTGGGGTTCGTTTTTCACTTCGACGTTTTGTGTGGTGACGTCAACAAAATAAAAATTACTTGTAGCGTTGCTTTGCTGGGTAATAAACTGTAATGTTTGTGTCCATTTGTGATTTAGTAATAATCAAGGGCTGAGAAAGGCAGTATCAAACCTTTAAGACGGTTTTCTAATATAATATTGAAATACATTTTGAGTAAGAGAATGCAGCGCTTACACGTAACAGGGCTTACACGTAACAAATTGTACCAGTTATCCGCTAACAAAACAACGAAACAAACAAAATCACGCATTCACCTTCAGTAATTAGGCTACAGGTAGGCTGCACAGCAAAACAGTAACGAGAACATGCTAATTGGTAATGTTCGTGTATTATGCTGACTTAAAGCCAAATCGGGACTTTACCAGACCGGTCCGGACGCCGGGACAAGAAGTTGAAAAGTGGGACTGACCCGCCTAAAACGGGACGTATGGTAAGCCCGAGTGAACTTCAATGCGCCTGTCGTCACTGAAATTGAAATCAGTATTTACTGACGATAAATATTGATCCGGATGTAACCGTTCAAGTTCGGCGTCCCTGGATTTTACACGTGCAATCGCACAAAGTGGCAAATTTCTGATTAAGATATACAGGCACCACAATGAAGTTCGAAATATTTGAACTATCTCATTTGCATGATGTCAAAAAATGCGAACCACAACAGCCTCGTGTTCGATATGCTGACGTCATATTTACATATATATATGTAACGGAAAAGTGGATGTATCATGGCATGTTCATTTTCCGCAACGTCATCAAAACAATAACTACCGTAAGTTGTTATTATGAAGTTCAAAATAGCCAAAGTCCGGTAGCGCAAAGTATTACGCATGTCGTATTTTATGGAACATAAGGCGCACCTTCAATAAATTGGTTTTAAAGCATAAAGCACTATAAGATCAAAATAGACATTAGGCGCAACGACTTATAAGGCAAAGGATCGATTTTTGAGAAGAAAAAAATTTGATTTTAAGAACGCCTCATACGGTAAGTTTATCTTATGAATATTCTTATAAACATTCAATAATTCAATAAAAATTCAGTCGTTGAATAAAAGAGAAGCCGCTATAAGACAAGAATTTGAATATTTATAAATAACTTTTTTGTCCATATATATGTTAGAGCAGGGGTGTGTAACCTTCTAATACAGGAAGGCCACATCTTTATTTACCATAGGTTCTTTTAGAGTTGCAGATACAAAAATGTTGCTTATTGATCTTATGACATGCGTTGTTCGCTTTTTGCCCGAATTGAAAAATATTAAAAATGCGTTTCGCGGGCCCCACATCATTCAAAATTGGCACTTCTCCGCGGGCCGCATAATTGTTTCTTGTAGGCCGCAGGTTGTACACCCCTGTGTTAGATCAGAGTTAGAGAATCGATCTCTTATTTGCGGAAATGGTCAGACAACATATGGTTATAATTTTTAGTTCACTTCATGCATTCTAATCAATGCAATTTTGAAAATCATTTCAAAGTAGCATCTTTCAATCCTAATTGATTGCACTTCGTTGAATGTGTATTAGGAATTTTGTACTTCGATTTACATAAGCATCAGAAATGTTTTATAGAAAGTGGAAATTCTTATTTGTCATGATTATGTTATAAATCGCTTTACCGAGGACGAGGTCGCGTTGGTTTATTACGCAATTTCTCTTCCGCCGTCATATTGCGACATCTTGGCGCCGAGTAATCATACTTTTCGCTTTTTCGGCTCCGATTCTTCTCGAATGCGCTCCGATCTCTTTACCGAAGACGAGGTCGATTTATTACCGAATTTCTCTTCCGCCGTCATATTGCGACGTCTTTCGCGACATCTTGGCGCCAAGTAATCACACTTTTTGCTTTTTCGGCTCCGATCCATCTTGAATGCGCTCCATCAAATCTCGCAAGATTCAGAAACCTAAAAACTGGCACGCGTGCTTTTTCTGTTCTGCATGCTTTTCCTGATTAATATGACCATCCAAATAAAACGTTATGAATATTTCTTTGTTCAAACCAAAAAACAGTCAAGAAAAGTATAATACTTTAGTAAAATAATATGGCAGGTGGTCACGAAGAGCGCAAAAAAGCATGGGCCGCTGAGATCTTTTCCAGTAACTTGAGCAGACAAAGTAGGATTGTGAGCCTGGTGCCAAATTACCGACGACTTTGTCATTGTAATGTAAATTCATTCGAAGCATCGATCAACTGCAGAGGGATTAATATGATAAACCCAATAAAAAAGCTTGATTCAAATTGCGATTCTACTTTACAGTCCAGATTTAAAAAAGAATCACTATCACAATTTTGGATATCTCTTGATAACGAATACCGATCGCTAAGTAATCGAGCAATCAAACTGTTGTCCGTATTTTCAACGAGTTACTTATATTTTTATTACTTATATATAAAAATATTTATTTTCATCACTAGCTTTAATTAAAGCGAAGCAAGGAAATAGGCTGCACACCGCTGCAGGGCTACGTGTGGCAGAAACTTCCTTGGGGCATCGTTTGCAATCTTATATTGGAAACTAAACAGCAGCAAAATTTTCATTAGAGTTAATTGCGTTTGTACATGATTTGACATGTACATGCTTTTTATGTGAGATGTTTTATGTGTGCCTTTCTTACGCATAATGGGTGCCCAGCACTGCATTTCATCACGCAAATATTTTTGGCCGGCACATTATTTGATAGTTTTTCTTCGTGTAAGCTGTTTTCAAGTGTGCCTTTTTTGTCTAGACTCTAGAATCTAGATGCATATTGAGTGCCCGACATTGCATTGTATTACGCAAATATATATATGTTATTCTTTTATGTTCCGGTCATTTCAATTTTTTCCGGTCCGCGAGTACATTTAATTTAATTTTACCGGTCCGCCAGGGTAGAAAGGTTGGGAACCACTGTTATAATGTACACTTCTCATATCTGTTACGAATCCTGTTACACAAAATTATTTGAAATTTAATTGGCGTATCAATAGGGGGTATCATATTACTAACCGTTATTTAAAAAAAAAACTCAACTCACAAATCCTCGGCTCAAAAATATAGCTTGCAGTGTTTCTTATTTGCTTGAATAAATGCGAAATTTTTATAATTTTGGATCAACTATATATTTTCGTTTTTTTTTCAGTGAAATGAACCTTTGAATAATGTTTAAAATAGCAATTCAAAGCAGTATTTTTATGTTTTTTTTCTTTTTATTTCAATAAAACTGTCTTTTTCTGACCTCTGAAGTATTACGAAATCACCAATAGACACAAACATTACAGTTTATAACACAGCAAAGCAGAACGTTAGTAAACATAGATTAACGCGAGGCTCACCAAAACACAGGGATAACAAGCACGCAGGCAGGTAAAAACAAGGAACAATTATGCGAGAAAACTATCATAATTACAAATCAAGTCCACGTGAAAAACAACCGGTGCCTTGAAAATGTCGTGTCATACTTGCCCCGCTTGTTCCATGTGTCCTACTCGTTCTACTTGTCTCACTTACTCTACTTGTTCCAAGGCTGTGAAAACTGGCGTATGGATAAACTACACCTGATTGAATTAAAGTGTTGTAATTGCTATTTATAAAAAATATTTCTAAATTCAAAAATTTGAATGGCAAAACGCCGCTATTTTAAAATGCCGATATTCCGATATAATTTTATTATCATCTGGATTGGGACAGACATTTTTGAGACACCCAAAAACAACAGGCTGTGACGCAAACATAAAGGGCATTAAATTACCGCAATTGTTTACAATAAACCATCAGTTATCATTATAAATTTCGTCTATCTGGAAATATAGCCTTTTAGCGACCACAACAATCTTTGAACCCTTAAAATCGAAATATGAAAATTTCAAAGCAATTGGTCCAGTAGTTGAAAGAAAAGCGATTTTTTTCAGAACAAGAAATACTAACAACAACATAATAACGGAGCGATCCATAGGATAGGATTTACATATTTATCTCGGGCGAGAGGAAAGCCGATAAGACTGCTTAATCATATGGCGAACCACGGCCTCTCGACCGGTTACCAGTCCAGGTCGGGTATGTGATTAGGTAGCCAGTTATTTCTTTTTGGAAGCATGAATTTGATGGAGTAGAAAGTCGTAACAGACCAGCGGTTACGTGAACCACCCTACGGCGGCGAGGAGACCAGCAATCCTCTCGCACATAACCATTCCGCATGGGATTCTAACCTGCAAAACCACGCAGGGTAATCAGAGGTGCGGTGGCGTATTCGTAACGCTTCGCACGATGCGCCACTCTGCCGAGCATAGGTCCATTTCGTGTCCAATAAGCAAATATGAAATTTCCGAGTTTCAAAGTGAGACAAATAGAAAATGGACAACGCGATTGTTATGTGCAATATTGATGTGTATGGGACTACTCCAAGACCTCATTTCATAGTTCGGTGTCTTTTCTAATGAAAAATAATGTATTGCCTAACAAGCAGGTGGCGCACACATTCCACTCGTAAAGAACTCGGGTGTGGTATATTCATATAGGCATATAACAAGAGTAAAAAATATTTCAATTTCACAAATCATCAAAATCGTAAATGTCGACGAAGGTGATTACTGCAGAAACTCTACTGCAATGTAGTGATTGCTGAAATAAACGACTTCTCGGCTTCATTTATAATTTTAATTTCAGACATTTTACTTCCAATATATATTTATATATTATATATGTATTCCGAAGTCAATTTTATTTTTTCCAATCAGTAAAAAAATCAATCGAACACAAATTACGCTGTACAATAAATTGAATCGAGACAATAGGTTTTATATTAAAAATAGTAAAATTTGATTATTACCGGTAATAGACGGGCAGCTGTCGCCTACCTGTAGTCCTGTACCCGTAGGCTACGGTACCTCCTGTATCAGTACAGGGTACCGTATATAAATATATTTAAGCATTGGGACAATATTTCAGGTATAAATTGAAAATAAATTCACATAATTTTATTGACTACTAAGCAGATACGCGGGATATATTTTTTTGTTTGTTTGAGGATCTGGCTGAAATGTCGAGGGGGAAACTCAGGTGAGGCGAAATAGTAAGATTCTGATAACTTTGTGGTGAACAATAGAAAATATGCAGACATTTTAAGAATAAGTTCGTCTACGTGCTAGTTGAATATAAGTTAGAATATGTAAACCGACAATAATACAGCACATAGAAACATGGTTTTGCCACATATCCCAGTCCGTAATATTTTGTGCACTTTCTCCGACGTTAAGACTGGTGTGAAGATACTCTTCCCCTTTCACGGACACACAAATTGTCTTGTTCTCGTTTATATTACCGGTGTAGTTTACCGAACCATAATAGCCTGTCGGGGGAGAAGGCTGAGACGTGGAGTTGGTACAAGAAAAAAATATTTGCCCTCGCATTTCGTTGACAGCCAATGCAACAAGACTATATCGAGCTAAACTTAAATACTGTAACCAAGACAGCCAAGGCATCACGCTCCCAGCGTTCACCAACGCACCAGAAAACAGGATGCTGCATACGAATGTTAACATTAACATAATGCTTCCAATATTTGGTGTCAAAGACGCTGAGTAAAATATCCCTGTTGCAACTGCACCATAGCTGGTTAGAATTACAGTCAGTAGAAATGTGAAAAATGCTCCGGGTTCTGCTTTAAACCCAACCATCCAATAGGATATGGCACTCAATATTATGGGAGATATTGTACAAAGTGGAATGAGATCTGCAATGATTTCTGAAACAAAATAAGAAGGAACGCTGTAGTACCCTGAAATTTGCTCATGTCGAAATATGGGCTGGTCTCTGCAGAATGTGTTAACAACAAGCATAAATCGCATCAATAAGATTGCAATGATGAATAATAATGCTCCCAAGCGATTTTGAACTCCTATGTCTGTGGACTTGTCTAATTGATAATAAATTAGTCCTATTACCAGTCCTATTACCACGTTACTCGCGGCATTCGCTAGTAGCGATTGCGGGTGACGTACCATGTTCTTGGCAGTACGTCTAATTAATATTTTTGTTTGATGTCTAAAACTTGTGGGGTACATTTGACCGTGGGTGTTTTCCGCCTCGTAGACAGCCTCTTCAATTTTATTCACTTTTTCTTGCAAAGATACTGCGCTTTCATTCTCTTTATAAGCCGTCTTCAGGATTTTTCCTAACTCTTTATTTACTGACACTGATTTCCCATCGGCGGAAGAACAAGTAATGGCCCTCTTGTGATCACCGTTTAAAATGTCAAGAAAGAAATCTGCCGGATTGTCATGAGTCTCGCAAATATATCCAAGATTTTCAAAAAATTGAATGGAGTTAGTAGCATCGCCGTGATAAACTAATTCTCCGTCAGAAAGGAGAGTCAGAGAATCAAACAGTTTATAAATGCTATAACGTGGTTGATGAATGGAGCATACGATTGTATGTCCCTGTTCTCCAAGCCGCTTGAGAAGAATCATGACTGACAATGCTGTCGCCGAATCCAACCCGGTTGTAGGTTCATCCAAGAAAAGTATTTTGGGCTCCAATAGAAGCTCTATACCGATAGAAGTTCTTTTCTTTTCTCCTCCAGAAATACCACGAATGATTTCATTTCCTACTTTGGTATCAGCGCAAGCAAGCAACCCCAAATCTTTCAATATATTATCAATCCTATTTCGTTTGTCATCTTGTGAAATCGAAGTTGGTAGTCTAAGATTTGCGCAAAACCATAACGTTTCTCTAACAGATGCTGTTGGAACTAAAAGATCATTTTGAACAACATAACCACTCAGATAACGAAAATTTTTCGGTATTGGTTGGCCATCTAAAAGCACAACGCCACTGCAGCAAGCGGGGTCTTTTCTGTTTGCTAATACATCAAGCAGAGAGGATTTACCACTCCCAGTTGGTCCCATAATTGCATTAAGACCGGGGGGCATAACGCCACTAATGTCGCTGAGAATCACTATTTTATCCGACCTACGGCAAAATCCACAAGGTTTGTTTACTTCTACAGTGTATGATACGTTGTGAAAACTCATTACAGAACCCGATGTCTTTTGGTCTGTTTCTTCTGCCGATACCACGGCTATGTTTTCAATCACCACTGCCTCCATATTTTCTGATTTGCAATCAGTACCGTTTCTTTCAGACATTCCTAATTCCCGAAAGTAAGCTACCTATATTTTAGCTAAATATAAAATGAAAATATGATATACTTGATTTAAAGCTCAAGCAGTACTAAGCTAACAATAAACAAGAGAGCTACGCCCAAATATATGGACACGTCTGTTCGCAGTACAGTACGGTTTACCGTACCGTCAGATCAGAGTCTACACATATATTCACACCAAGCGAAGCAGTACAGTTGGACACAAAATGGCGTCCGATATCCTTAGAACGTTTAATGACGTCTTAGCAAACAAAAACAAATCTCACAGAGCTAACAGAAATATTTAAAATGAATAAAAGTAATAGCCTTCTGGGGAAAAATTTTATCTTCAACCACTGAAAATTTCAAAGCAATTGGTCCAGTATTCGAAGAGAAAAGCGGTTTTTTAATATTTCCACTAGGTGTGTTATTCCGTGTCAAACAACAAGAACAACATAATATTGAAACGATCGTTGTGTCCACTACGTGTCCAACAACAAAAACTAACTTCTACTTCTAAATAAAATAGATCATACGCGAATAAAGAATTTTTCCAGGCCTCAATTTGCTAATAATTTGGGCTATTCGACCTCTCCGATCTACAATTAATTTTCTTTCTACAACTCAACTTAATGTAAGCAATTTACATTTTGAGGAAATGATAAGGTGCATTCTTATCGAAGTCTTCTCAAGCGTAAGAATAGATTACAGTTGTACATTAGTAATTTATTTCTGAATTCAGACTCACAATATGTCTGTAAGAAATGTTTGCATGCATTTTATGGAACCCTAATTAAGTCCTTCACTTTAAGCACCGTTAAGTTAGTCATGCTTTATGATTTACATTGCCCATCTTTACTGTGACGTAATAGGTCACTTTTTTCCCCGCGCTTTAAGGCCTTCCAGAATTTTCCTTTTTTCCATTTAAGCTATTAACCTGAATCAACAAGCGTTGTAGGTGTCGCTGCCTGAAGACCTCTTAAGGTCCCTCGCGACTCCTGTCACACAATTTAAGTTAGTTTCCACGTGTATTTGTAATATTTTTTCATATATCGTACCATGTTTAAATTGTGTTGACGAATAAATGATGATTGATTTCCTTGCCACGAGGTAGACGCTCATTGGCCATTGAGCTTGGCGTGTAAGGGAGGATGCTGTGCGATTATATATTTTATTAATGATAGGTTTTTCTATATTTGGGGTTGAACTTATGCTATACGTTACATCAGTGGTTCTCAAACTTTTTTTGCTCGCGGCACACTAAGCAAATAAGAAAAATCTCGCGGCACACCTGTGAAAAATTTGAGCTATACTTGGGCAAATTATTCTAGAAATGTTAATGCGATGTGTGTGCCTGTTTTGAAAAACGAGGGTCCGTCGTTCCCATTTTGCTTTTGATTACAGCCAGAGCAGAAAATACGGGTTAATAGAGCCATGTAGATGCAAATGGATAGATTATTTTGGCTTTTGCATCGCTGATTGAATAGAATTTGTAAGCAGAAAGCCAAAACTCGACCAAACTGTCTTTCCTGTTAGCCTAACTCAGGGGTCTGCAAATTTCGTACTCGCTTGACAGATCGTCATTTGAACGACTTACCGCGGACAACCAAGTTGTCATAACCACATCATCTTTCATATTGAGAATAAGTAAATACATAAGTATAAGTAAAACAATATATTGTAGGATAATATATTAATTGTGACGATTGTTCGTAAGCGGGAAAAATATGTATATTCGGCCCGCTGGTACACAAATTTTGCCGACCCCTGGCCTAACTCAACGCTCACGTGAACATAGTGGAAGGTGGATATCATTTTTACAAAAAACATTATGACATCACAATGCAAGTATACTGGAACAATAGCCCTTACTACAACGACTAGGCAAATGCAATAATATTATCAGTCTAATTAATTATGGATTATCAAATCTCATAAGTTGCATGCATGTCTATGTGTAATACAAACAGCTTATTTTCTAAAATTCCAAAAAGCTCCGCGGCACACTTGAGAATCTCTCACGGCAAACTAGTGTGCCACGGCACACAGTTTGAGAAACACTGCGTTACATAATTGTTATCAGGTAGGAAGTTATGCTCAGAATAATATTAGGTTTATTCATATATTAGCCGAACAGCTTTTGAGGATTGCTGTATTTTTTGCGTCCTTATATTGATCATTGTATTATTTTGTATTCTAGCATACGTATGGCTGTTCTTTGAGTCCCTGTCAAAAACAGTCAATTTATTACTGACACTAATACTGTAATAGACTGTTATCACTGACGTCAACATTATATGTGTTTGAACAAGATAATAAAGTTTTCTCCAACACAAGTCTACGGGATTGTTGGTGTACAGGTTGCAGTGTTGGGCAGTTGGTGCATAGATTGAAGACATTACATCGGGACCCAGGGACAGGACGCGTCTCTAGTTACCCTGTAACTTGGAGTCGCAGTGGAAGACATTAGGTACCGTACCCTACGCGTAATTATCCCACCAGTGGCGTAGCATCCATCCCCGCAACCCCCGGCACAGCGCAAAGGGGCCCAAGCGGTTAGAATTTAGAAATTAAAGCCGCAAACCAAAAGCTGCAGTGCAAAACAAGTAATGCACATCTTATAACGTTGATGTTAGTTCTGCTCAAATCGTTTTGTTACGTAACAATGCCAGGAAAACGTCGATTTTCGGCGTCTTGTGGTTTGATCGCACCGGCAAAATTACGAAGGCTGTCAAAATGATGTCGAAAGCAAAACCTCTCAGTGGCGCACAGAAACGCAGAAAAAGTGCAGAAGAGGAAGAACGTATGAAAAAATAAAGTAACCGAAATAAACCATTGCGTTTTAGCTTATGTTCGTGGAATGCACGTGATCCGTGGAATGCACGTAGAAAATCTTTATTCTTAATATATATAATCCTTAATCTTATCGGTGTCCGAGTTTGAAGTTCTTCGTCTATGTTCTTTTGTTATGACGTTTCCTAACAATAGCCTGTAGAATAAATGACCTCTACTCCGAATAAACTTTAATGCGCCTGACGTCACCGAAATTGGAATTAATTTTCACTGACGATAAATATTGATCCGGATGTAACCGTCCAAGTTGAGCGACCCTCGCTTTCACACGTACAATCGCACAAACTAGCAAATTTTTAAATTAAGATATACAGATACCGGAAGAAAGTTGAAAATATTTGAACTATCCCATTCCCATTGGTATCGTGTCAAAAAATGTCAACCACAACATTTATCGATGTTTTTATACTGCCCGGTTGGGTTGTGAAATTTTATTATATTACCGTAGGTTTGCCCTTTTCGTAATGTTAAAACTTGGCGAGAAATATTTAGACCACAATCATATTTGTTGTCGTGTTTTTGGCCTCGTGTTCGATATATTGACGTCATATTTACATATGAGTAATGGAAAATGGATGTATTATGGCATTATAAGTTCATTTTCCGCAACGTCATCAAAACAATAACCGAGAATATCGGTCGGAGATCGAAGACTTATCGATCATAGATCGGTAATTAGTTAATAACTCGCTAATTATACGACATATGGACATGCCGTATTTTATGGAACATAAGGCGCACCTTCAATAAATTGCTTAAATTGGGTCACTATCAGATCAATATATCAGCACTATCAGATCAATATATACATTAGGCCAGGGTCGGTAAACCTTTTAGCCGAAGGGCCACACGTGGCTCACTAATAATTGCGCGGGCCACTTATTATGGTAGTTATGTTCTAGTTTTGCTACACTGACCACCTAACATGGTAGTTAGGTTCTAGTTTTGCAACACTGACCACTTAACATGGTAGTTATGTTCTAGTTTTGCTACTGACCACAGGTTAATGAAAAAACAAACAATACCCCCACAACAAACTTTCACAATTATTAGAACTTAATTATTAGAACACAATTATTAGAATAAAACTGTTGTTTCCCAACCATTGATGGGGGCGCCATCAGTGGTTATTCCTGAAAGTTTCGCTAAAGACAAGCCAAGACGCTTGATCATTTTTATCACAGTTTTTAACAAATCAATGCCTCTAGTCGTACTCTTAACAGGGACACTGGCTGCGAGCTCCACAGTATTTTCAAATCATCATTAACTCCCCGCAAGAAGATCGCCAAGTCGCCGACTGAGCAATAAACTTGATGTCAGTGCTTTCATCAGGCGCCAAGGAATACGATGAAAATTTTCCCGCTTTTGCAATTGAAGTTTCCGCAATAGAGTTCCCAAGCTCTTTAAACGGCTAGTTATGGTCTGTCCTGACAGGCTATTTTTGCAAACACCTCTTTTATTTCCACGTCGTAAAACATTGGCAACCCGAACAATACATAATATACAATTCTTAACGAATTTTCTATCTGAGAATGCTTTCGTTTGTTTTGCGATAACATCATATTATAGAGTAGTAAAAGAACAAGCGTGTAAACGACTAAGGGATCTTTATATATCGATATCACCTCTCAGTTGGTTTCGATTCAAAATGGCACTCATGGCTTGTTTGGAAGGGCTTGCAGAGCGCATTTCAGGGAAATAAACAATTCGTTTGCATCAAATCTTTGTATATATACTACCGTATTTCCCCTAAAATAACACCTACCCTGAAAATAAGACCTAGTCTGAATTTTAAATATGATTTTAATATAAGCCCTCCCCTTAAAATAAGACCTAGACAATAACGCGAATTATTATTTTTTTTTTTGAGCTAGTCGATAGCAAGAAATCTCTCTTTACACGTTTTAAATGATTGATAATCCATGTTTCGCAGTTATTTTGAATAAAAACGTGTTATTTATACGTAAATAGATATCGGTTTTCACATTTTGTACATTTGAAAAATCTCGTAATTCTCTGCTTTGTAATTTTGTTTTTGATAACTTAAAATATAAGACATCGCCCGAAAATAAGCCCTAGTGTTATTTTCGGGGAAACACGGTACATCACTCGAAAAATAGTTTTACTCAATTTTTTATTCAATTCTAAATATTCAGCGCAAGCCACTCGAAATGT